CTTAGTGGGCCTTGGACCTCCTGGAATAAACTTTCCACACCTTGGGCTTAAGTCCATTAGTTGGGACAAGACTAGGACCCTTCTCATTCGTACCATTGGTCACCCCATCAAGAATGGTCTTGTCCTCAAGACCAATATCCGGAAATTGTTGTTGAATGACCAAAACATCTTCCCACGTTGCTTCTTCACTTGGACGGTGTTGCCACTTGATGAGCCATTGCGGAACAGGTTCCCCGTCCCGAACGATGGAGCGAGCTCCCTGAATGGACTCCGGAAAACACTGATCAGCAACATCCACTTCAAGGTCAGCCGGTAATGAATCGACCTCGGTGACTCCAGGCACTGCCTTCTTCAATAACGAGACATGGAAAACCGGATGCACCTTGGATAAAGCTGGGAGGTGTAACCGATAAGCCACGGGACCGATACGCTCCATAATTTCAAACGGTCCAAAAAACCTCGCTGACAGTTTTTGATTGATGCGATTTGCTACCGACAATTGTCGATACGGCCGAAGCTTCGCATAAACCAAATCACCAACCTGAAATTCAACCTCTCGACGATGCTTATCGGCCTGCAATTTCATTTGTGATTGAGCTCGTAATAACTGTGCCCGAAGTTGTTTCAAAGCCTCATCACGGTCCTTCAGCTCTAGGCGGACTGTCTCGACCCGCACCTCACCCGGAATAAACTGACATATATTAGGAGGTTTGCGACCGTAAACAATCTCGAAGGGTGAAACCCCTGTAGAGCCATGAAAAGTAGAATTGTACCAAAATTCCGCCCACGGTATCCACAAGGACCACGAACGTGGTTGTTCAACCGCAAAACAACGTAAATACGACTCAAGACAGCGATTAATGACCTCGGTTTGCCCATCTGACTCTGGATGATATGATGAACTCATGTGTAAACGAGTACCTTGCAAACGGAAGAGTTCCTGCCAAAAATGACTCATAAAGAGGGGATCGCGATCACTGACAATTGATTTCGGAATACCATGTAAGCGGACTATTTCCTTGACGAAGACATCCGCGATATAACGTGCGGTATAGGGGTGTTTCAACGGCACAAAATGGCTGTACTTGGATAACCTGTCCACGACCACTAATAACGCATCAAAACCCTTTGATTTCGGTAGCCCAAGAATAAAATCCATGGACAAATGTTCCCAAATCGTTTCCGGAATATCTAGCGGTTGTAAAAGACCCGCTGGAGTAAGGGAGCTAGATTTGCAACGTTGACAAATATCACAAGCTTGGACAAAACGCTGAACCGCCGAGCTCATACCGGGCCAATATAAATTGGCAGCCAAACGACGATAAGTTCGATAGTACCCGGAGTGACCGCCCGTAGCGGATTTGTGAAATTCAGATAGTAATTCCGGAATCCATTTGGAATTCCGAGGGATAACTAAACGACCCTTATGATATAGAATTCCCGAGCGCACTTCGTAACCTGGATACGTTCCCTGCTGCTGTAGGCATGATTGTATCACCTTTTGGAGGTCCGGATCGGCTTTGGCTTCCTCCAACAGCTGTGCTCCTTGAACCCAAACGGGTTGGTACGCTATCGAAGTGAGCAATTCGCCATAATCGTCTCTCCTGGACAGCGCATCTGCTGCCCGATTTTCCCGTCCCGCCTTATAACAGATTTCAAAATGATACCCAAGCAATTTGGCAACCCAATTTTGCTGATCCGGAGTGGTGATACGCTGCTGTAAGAGATGCTTCAGACTTTTATGGTCGGTGTAGACCGTAAAAGTAGTCCCCAAAAGATAGCTCCGCCAATGTTGAACCGCCAAAGCTAATGCCATGATTTCTCGTTCGTACGTGGACTTTGACAGGTTACGATCTGTCAAAGCCTTACTAAAAAAAGCAATCGGACGACGGTTTTGCATCAGGACAGCCCCAATTCCACGACCCGAAGCGTCACATTCCACCACAAAAGGAGCCGAAAAGTCGGGCAACGCGAGGACAGGAGCTGTAGTAACTGCGTGTTTCAGGCTGTCAAATGACTTTTGGGTCTCCATATTCCAATGAAAATTGTCCCTCTTTGTCAACTCCGTGAGCGGTTTGGCAATAGCTCCATAATTTCGAACGAATTTCCGATAGTAACCTGTTAATCCCAAAAAACCGCGTACGCCTTTCACTTGTTTGGGAACCGGCCAATCTTTCACCGCTTGAACTTTATTAGGATCCATTGATACACCCTCTCCATCAATAATGTGACCCAAATATTCGACCGATCGTTGCCCAAAAGAGCATTTCTTTCGGTTAACCACGAAACGATGGGAAACCAACGTAGCCAACGTCGAAGCCAAATCTAATAGATGTTGTTCCCATGTCGGACTATACACTAAGATATCGTCGAAGAACACCACGATACACTTACGTAGGTGTGGTCGAAAAACGTCGTTCATAATGGCTTGAAAGGTCGCCGGGGCGTTAGTGAGACCGAAAGGCATTACGAGATACTCGTAATGGCCATCATGCGTCCGAAACGCTGTTTTCTCCACACTTTCCGGCCGCATACGGATCTGGTTGTAACCGGACTTGAGGTCCAATTTGGARAAATACTTGGTACCCTGAAGTTCATCRATCAACTCTTCTACTACTGGAATTGGGTRTTTATCCRGAATTGTGGCTTTGTTCAATGCTCTATAATCGACACACATACGCCAAGTTTGGTCCTTCTTCCGTACCAAAATTACCGGACTAGAAAAAGAACTGTTGCTGGGTCGTATAACCCCCAAAGTCAGCATCTCCTGAACTTGGCGCTCAATTTCAGCCTTGTGAGCGTGAGGATATCGATACGGCCTAACACAAACCGGCCCATGGTTAGGAACGAGATTGATAGCATGATCTCGAGACCGTTGGTAACCCCGACAGTTCTTCAAATACTGGAGCAAACCTGTTAAAGATTTTCAACAGCTCCTGCGATTGTAATGATGTTAAAGTCGGCTCCAAAACTCCCATCTGCTCTCCATCAGTTAATCGTAACGAAGGATTAGAGTCCGATAACCAGCTTTGTAGTGAAGCCCGTGCTCGCACTGGAAGCGATGTCCCCGATAAGCAGACCTCCTTACCCCTATACATAAACCGCATTGTGTGAGCCTCCCAATTATGGATGACATCACCCAAGGTTTGGAGCCACTCGATTCCTAATACCATATCCAGATCACCCATTTCGAACAACAAAGCATCAATCTCGAACTCGCAATTCCCAAACACGATTGGAAGACCCTCGCACCGTTGAGTCACTAAAACCTTGTGTTCGTCTCCAAGCTTAATTCGTAGCCCCGCAAACGTATGCACCACCAAATCCAATGCCTCAGTCAATTTCCGAGATATAAAATTGTGGGTCGCTCCACTGTCGACTAACACGACAATAGGGATACCACCCAAAAATCCCTCGAGTTTAACAGTCTGTACTTTGGGTTTCAAAACAACACGAGCACCCATGAACTCCATAAGTGAACATTCACCCGTTTCTAATTCACCTTCATTAACGACCTCCTCTGGAAGATTAATCTGATTATGTTCTCCATTCAGCTCGTCTTCCTCATTATCCGCTAACAACAACACCCGTAGATTTGCTTCCGGACATTTGTGGGTAGGACCAAACTGTTGCCCGCATTTGAAACACAACCCCTTCCGCCGTCGATCCTCCCATTCTGTTCGTGACAACGTTCTGATCCCACGATTCCGAATACCGGATGTTTGAGCAGCCTCTGTGCGATGGGAATTGACCACCGATGCCATAGATGACGCTTTATTCACCGAATTCCCTTTAGTGAACATACGTCGTTCAGAAATAGGGTTACCAGATTGGGCCTTTGATAAGCCCATTGGGCCTATTGACGAACCAACAAATGTAGAATCAGCATTCTGCCGCTGAGTCTGGTATCGAAACCTCGCATTAAGCCGAGTACAATCAGAGGGATTCAGCATCTGTTCCACGTCATTCGCTATATACATAGCATCGAGAAGGGTTTGAGGACGCTGAAGCCTCACCCATTGTTTAATTTCAGGCCGCAATCCCGCTAGGAAATAGCCCAAGGCTTGAGATTCAGGGAGTCGAGGAATTAATGAAAGCAAATATTCAAAATCGTCAATGAAATCGTGTACAGAATCGACCTGCTTAATGGTAGCCAACTGCTCATAAGGATTCTGTATGTCGAGACCTCCAAATCGTTGCAACAATTCGCGCGTAAATTGTTCCCAACTCAGATTATCATGTATGTTCTTCACCACTGTGAACCAATGTTGAGCTACTCCGATCATACTCAGTTGGGCCAACCGGAGACGCAAGTCGGGTGCGGTGCCATGGATCTCGAAATATAATTCTGCCTTCGATATCCATCCACGAGGATCGTATCCCCCAAATTCTGGAAGTTTCACCTTCTTAGCCACACAATAGGGAACTGAATTAGCATGATCGGATTCGAGATTGATATTGAAAGAAGGAGTACGAGGAGGAGGAGGTACTCCCGATCCAGATGTATCCCCCATTTCTGGGTTCATACTTTGTTGGCTTTTCACCCACGCCATCACATACGCTCGAAATTCCTTATCCTCATCCTGATTTATCTCCATCGCCTTCAGCGAAGCTTTAATCTCCTGTACATCCGTCTGTAATTGATGGATCTGGCTCTCATGGTTCTCAATTCGGGTTTGGAAACGTGTCTCCATTGGAATCCGGCAGGTCGGACCAATGATACAAAATGAACAGATAGGGAAAAAATGGGTAATCGGCTGTTGGGAATATAATAGATGGAACAGAATTTACAGGTAAAAGAAGAAGACTTACTATCCAAAAGGATCCCASGGAGAGCCCCTTCTCTAAACGTAGAGCCAAAGCAAATGGTTATTCTCTGCATGCCCCTCCCGGAGGAAGGCATTAGCTTATTTAACTAACATACGTAACAAACTCTTAGTGGGCCTTGGACCTCCTGGAATAAACTTTCCACACCTTGGGCTTAAGTCCATTAGTTGGGACAAGACTAGGACCCTTCTCATTCGTACCAATGACCTTACGGAGTAAGGATTCAGATAAAGATGGTTAAGCTTACAGGATGGTCCCGAAAATAGACAAGTTATTCCGAAGCTCTTCATTTATAGGAAAGCTGATAGCAGAAACAACAAGAAACATCGACATTGCCTGTATGAATAAGTAGTAAATTCAGTTTATTAGGGATGAGATAAACATACATAGCGAATCTCATCCTAAAAGATGCTTGCCATCATATAAACATCCATGCACAATTTCTTATGCGTGTATGAGTAACCAGGCTTTCCAGATATGTGTTTTGATCTCATTTGGACCAAATTAGGGTTGTACGCGGGTTGGGTTGGGCGGTTTACGGTATTTATACAACCCAACCCAATTATGTTGGGTTGGAAAAATCTCAACCCAACCCATTCAAAAGTATAACCTAAACCTTGCAGGTTGAGGTGGGTTAGGTTGGCGGGTTAGTAGTTACATAAGCTTATAGGACCAAACTATAAAGCGTCCTATTTGAAAGTGTTACAATAGGTTTATAACATTTTTGGACGCTTCAACAAGTTCTTTAATTTGTTTATATAAAGTGTCGTATTAGTTATTTTATAGAACAATTTTGAAAAGTATCCTATAAACTAATATATTTATAGGACACTTATGTTCATGACACTAATTCAAATCGTGTCATATAAAATAACTAATACGACATGTTATTTTAAAAGCGTTCTAAAAACTTGTTAAGACTTCCAAAAGCGTCTTATAAACATATTGTAACACTTCTAGATAGGTTGTTTTTTTGTTTCGTGCTATAAACTTAAGTTCTATAAAGTGTCATATTAGGACGTTCAGGCATTTTAGACGTCCTATAAATCTAATGTCGTTGTAGTGAAATGCTAATCTTTCCACCAAAGTACAAACATAAAGCTAATAAGAAACACAAACATGAACTCAACAAACATCATATAAAATTTATACATTATTAATATACTAGTTGTGTACCCGCGCAATGCGACGGGAGCCATGAATTTTAACGATTTTAAGTTCCACTGACTTTATAAGATAAGATTTGACGATGATATATGTTACACTTGGTCTTTACATATTAATACAATTTGAATAAATAAGAGTTATGGTTCCAAATACAGACTATCGATGAAAAAAATTGTATAATAGTTTAAAATCCAATATATTTAAAATCCAACATATTTAAACGACTCCACAAATGTGTTCGATTTACACCAAGAGCAAAGAACTAAGAAACTTGAGTTTTAAGATAAACACTCAAAATCAATAAAGAAAACTACAAATTTGATAGATCATAAGCCATGAAAAGACCAAAAAAGATGGGTTTTAGAAATAAAATTTCAACTGCTTACCCTTTTTCTTGTCCAGAAACTCAAATTAAGGTTGAATTGATACATGTATATTTCAAAAAAACCCAAGAACATATTAATTCATAATATATTATACAATGCAATTTGGACAGCCTAACCCCCAAAATATATAGTATATATATAAATAAATAACTATAAAAGTATAAATCGTAAATATTAAAAATATTTTTTCACAGTATATATAAGGGAAAATTGCACCAAAATGGAACGAACTTTCACTTAATTCTTATTTTGGGAAACCAACTTTTAAAATCGTCATTTTGGGGAACCAACTTGTACCTGATTCCTATTTTGGGGAACCAACTTCCAAAATTATCATTTTGGGGAACCAACTTGCACCTGATTTCTATTTTGGGAAACCAACTTGCAAAATAATTATAGAAAAATAACTAAAATTCTTTTTTTTTCCAAAAATTAATGCAATAAAATTTATTTTTCATTTCAAATCTCGTTTTTTTAATTCAGATATCAAATTGAACATTTAAAAAAAATCCAAATTATCAGAATAAAAATTGTTTTTTACTAATGCAAAAAAATCAATTTAATAGAAAAAAAAATTAATTGATGCAATAAAAAATAAATATTAAATATCACATTCAAGATTTTTATATCTAACCAATTGCATCAATTATTATTTTTTCTATTAAATTGATTTTTTTTGCATTAGTAAAAAACAATTTTTGTTGTGGTAATTTGGATTTTTTTCAAAAAATGTTCAATTTGATATCTGAATTAAAAAAACGAGATATGAAATGAAAAATAGATTTTATTGCATTAATTTTTAGAAAAAAACGAATTTTAATTATTTTTCTATAATTATTTTGCAAGTTGGTTCCCCAAAATGACGATTTTGAAAGTTGGTTCCCCAAAATAGGAATTAAGTGAAAGTTGGTTCCATTTTGATGCAATTTTCCTTATATATAATATATAATAATATAATTAGGTCAAAAATTATTCAATATTGGACTCATTTCAAAGGTATTAACGAGACAATTATAATGGTGTAACTTGTTAAAATAAAAATGTATTTTTAAACATGTTTTAATTGATATACGATTATGTATGTTAATTTGATAAAAGTTTAAAATGAAACATTTAAAAGTAAATGAAGTAAAGTAAATTAATTAACTAATTATAGAGGTATAAAGTGTAAATTTAAAATTATAATTTAAAAAAAATCGGTTGTGAGAGGGTGAGTGTATGTGAGGAGAGGAGGTAGTGAAAAAGTATAAAGGGTATCTTGGTCATTTAGTATTTTAAGACTTTTGTTAAATTTGCTTAATAAGATAGTATATTAATATATATACATATATATATATATAATAGACTATTATATAATATAGATATAAATAAAATTTTATCGAAGTTATATATTAGTGGCGGGTTGGGTTGGGTTGGGTTAGGCTAACCCAATTCCAACTCTCTTAATCGGCGGTTTTGTGGTTGGGCGGGTTGGCGGTTTAGCGGGTTGGGTTCAATTGGGTTGTTAGTGGGTTGGATTGGGCGGTTTGACGGTTTTTTGTACAGCCCTAGACCAAATTTCAGTATTTTGTCTTAATGAAAAGATCACATAATGGATATTCATAATGGAAGGAAAGAAGTCACCAAATCTTACCATTCCCAGATAACTTCCGGTTATAAGCTTCTGCCTCCCTTGGGTATCAATCAAGTATAAAGCACACAGTGCACCTGTAATCCACCAATGTGATAGAAATTAAAGGCGGTTGGATTCATGCGTGAGCACCGGGAATTATGTATTGAATATAACATATAAAACCTGCAAAGTTGGTAATTCCAACATATAAGCTTGCCAAGGCACCATTTGTGATTCCAGCATCTTTGAAAGTCAAGGAGGAAAAATAAAGAACTGCATTGATGCCAGCAAACTGTTGCAGAACAAACAGAGTGCCTCCAATGAAAGCAACTACAGCCATTGAAGGAAATTCAGATGGTGGAACAGATAAGCACTGGTTTAGTTGAATATGATGCAAACCCTTAACGCCGAAACATATGTAGCATCTGACACTAAAAGCACGAGTAAGAAATAATACCAAAAACACATTTAAATCATGACCTCTGATAGGTTGTACTTGGAGACAGGTGACTAGGGTAGCAGGCTAGGTATGAGAACCGTTGTGCAGGAGGGAGTTGGACGGGTTTTTTATTTGGGGGGGGAGGGTAGACGGCTGGCAGTGTAGGCTAGGGATGTGTTTTTCGTCTTGTTGCTCCGTGTGAGTTTTCCTTTCCTTGCCTTTTCCTATGTTTTCGTTATACCTTATCATTACTTTTTCACTCACCTCATGCTAGTATTTATTCTTTCTAACTGTTCACTCACGCTCCTACACAAGCTGGGAGTCTTCACAGAAACAACCGCTCTTTTGGGGTAGAAGTCAGGTCTGCGTGTATCTCCCCCCCCCCCTCCCCCCCGCGGACCTTACTCTCAAGTGGGATTTACCGGGTCCGTTTGGTTTGGTTAGCATGAGTTCATGTAATTGCAAGTCTGTCAGCACACCGTTAGTCGCAAGGCTGCAATAGGTCCAGCAGCTGCTTCTTTATTGTAGTAAACTTCATGTATAAAGATATAATTATTTGTATTCACCCTTGCCTATATCAGCCTCTATCACTTCCTATTGAAAACCTCGTCGGAAGGCCTTGGTGTGCTGCTGCTGAATGCAGCATTGTAGACAAGTAATGTAAGAAGAGAATCCCGGTGACTTAAAAGTTTTGAACATAATTTCACGGACAATAATACTACCTCTAGAATGTGGCTCTTCTAGCAGTTCTGACCATCTGCTGTCCAAATCACCACCATCATTGTTAAGAACGGACTGAAATTCTTCAATGCTTCTCTCAACTTCAGATGGTCCCCAAAGATTAGAGATCACTTCTCTAGCATCATGAAGCTTACCAGCCTTCACAAACAACCAACTGATTAATAGAATGTTAAGAAATCTTGTTTTTCATTAAAAAAGTATATCTTTGGACCCTCTGGAATAGAAGTTACGGGAAAGGTGTGCTTATGTCTAATTAAAATGGAAAACCTCATTTCACCTTTGATTAGTGATATGCTTATAATCAGCAAGCATTGTGCTTTTCATTCAATACATAAATGGTTTGTTATTTTCTTGCTATCTAAATTGTGCCTTTTCTTCAAGGCTTCAAGCACTTGTGATTAAAATAGACCTCATAACAAAACGAGAACCCTACTTTGCATAGCCAGCGGGGGCTCTCTACAGCAAACTGCATACCAAGTGCTAGAATAAAACCAGGCACACTTGCAATATAGAGCATTGCTCTCCACCTGTCCAGAGTTCACTAAAATGCGTCAGGAACTTGATAAAGAGACCCAAGTTGGCATCATTGTTCTTAACGCTTTTGTTGCTACAATGTAAGCATGTAAAACATAAACCATGTTGTGCCTGTAAGATTGACAAAATGCTCGTTTCATAACAATCAGCCAATTTGTAGATGTAAAATTGAGTAAATTTCATAAATAGCCTCCCATCAAACTCCCACTATGCAGAATTCAAGTCTTGCATTGTCACATCTATTTTAGAACTCAAATATTTTATTGATCGAGTTTTAGAAAAAGGAGGAATTTATAACCTTGACCAGCCCTCCCCTTGTTCTCATCCCCATCCATCCCAGCAACCCCCGCGCATCTCTCTTCATTGTGTTGCCTTTTCGACAAATCACAGGTTTCAATCACCACAGTTGGTGAAGATTATCTTATTAAGCGACACAAGGCAACCACCAGACCCCAGGTTAGAGGACTCCAGTGCCTGAAGCTTGCATCAGCTGTCACCACCTAGACCACTTTGGTTGATTGCGATTCCTTGCCCATTTGATCGGAGCTATGCTCATTTTTCACTCCATTGATTCCACTTTCTGGTCAACTATTCTTTCACTGGAGAGCGTAGCCGATCCTTTCACCCCTTCTCCCAGGTGGGAACCTTCACCCTTGTCCTACTCATCCCAGCATTGCCCAACCCCCCCCCCCCGGGCGCGCCTCTCTATCTCTATGTGTGTGTGTGGAGGGGTTCCAGCCTCTCGGAAGCCCTTATCAAACAGGGTACAAGAAGAATTGGATCGGTTGCATCTGTGTGTGGATTTCAGATTAATCCTGAATATATCATGGATTGATTTGATCTTAATCACAGAGTAAAAGAAGAAAAAACTGCAATATCAACACATTTATTCTCGACTTTTTTATTACCCTAATCTTGAAACATGTCCCTAGAAATACCTTCTTATACGTTGACTAATCATTGGCAAAGAGCATAAACTGAACTGTGGCATGTCATAACTTGTGTTCCTCAAAAGCTCATCCATAACCAAATCAAAGTGACTAACGCTCACACGTTGCCCAATCCTTTAGTGATATAGGGAAATCACTTTTATAAATTTAAAGCATCACTGTTGGCTAGTTTATACTCGTCCATGCTCTCTATACTCTTGCAACCATGTAAGAGTTTAAAAGCTTCCATTCTCTCCTAATCCTAAGTAGACTCTTATAACAACTTAGATTTTACAAATGGCCTATCATAAGATTAAATTAAAACTTTTGGTAAGAAACGTTTCCTAGGCATGAAACAGTTGCAGATTAAGTACTTTTACCAATAAACCTAAATCATAAAAATATAAATCAATCCAAGCAAGCACGCGGAAACAAAACAATTTTTTTTTACCAATGAGGATCATTCTCCGAGTAGATTCCAAGAAAGAGTGAGGCTATAATTCCAGTACAAGTGCCAATTTGACACAAGCTCCCCAACGAACCCCTATACTTTGTTGGAGCGACCTGCAAAAGATGGTGATTACTTTTAGCACTAATGGAATATTCTATAAGGATTTGCTTCCATTTTATGTAATGAAGTATTGCAACTTTATGATGTCCATATTCTTTTAATAGAAGAACGTGTTATCTTATGTTTGCACCATTAAATTCTTATATTTGAGAAAAAGACAAGGAAAAATCATTCAAACAAACATTACCGAGAAAAGGCTACTAGATGTTTAGGATTTTAAACAAAATCTTGGCTAAAAACTATATACATATAGGGAAATAATCAAATGAGTCACCAGAAAGTTGAGAACCATGAAAACCACTAATCAGGTGTTCCACATTGTGAAACAATGCATGTGATAGTACAGTGTTGTTTCACATTATGAAACAAAAAAGATGCACATTAAGAATAATCAATTGTGAAACAGCATTGTATTTTCACATGCATTGTTTCACAATGAATATGGTTCTCAACCTTTTTGTAGTTCTAATTTGACTATTCCCCTATATATATTGATGAATCACTTATCAGTAAATCATTTTATAACCAAATATAACTTGAAAAATAAATGATTTTATGGAAAATTTATATTCCACCAGGTCATCTGAAATAAGTAAAAATTGGCTCAAAGAGAGAATTTGTGAAAAATAACTTAAGAAAACGTCCATCTGCATGTACAAGTAGGTGGCCATGCTTGACTCACAAAAATTCAAGGAATTGACTTCGTATGTTTGACCAAGCTTCTGTCTTGGCCACATAGCGCATGGCCAATGGCAGAAGAAGTTAAGTCATGTACAAGTAGGTGAGTTGAAACAGAAGGTTTCCCAGGATTTCATGTAAAAGCACTTAAGCCCAATGCTTGAGGGCCAGCTTACGTACAAGTACAAGGGGTGAAACAGAATTTTCGTATATATCCTTGCATGTATGCTAGAGTTTTTATGTTTTATTCTACAGATCAGTATGTGAGTTCGGCTCCACTTGTACATGAGTTGGATGACTAAAGTGTGTATTTGTAGAGACTTCATCCTAATCTAGGCCCAAGGTTCCTGGTACAATGCAAATGCCAAATGTTTTTTTGAGTTTATCCAGAGGCTAGTTTTGGGTATAAAAAGAGGGGAGATGAAGGCTTTGGGGATACCATCAATCACACATTCCTTCTTTCCCTACAGTCTGTTTGAGGTCTTGAAAGGCTAGAACATTGTGCATTCTTGCATTTCATTGAACACCTTGAAGGCACAAGTACTTTCAGATCTCTGTAGATTTATCAGTAGCCGAACAGTCAGCCACACTTAAGAGGTGGTTATCTGATTATCTGATATGGATTGATATGCTCTAAAAGTTGTGTTATTTATTGTGAGATACCTTTCTAAGTTTTATGTTTACTCTCTAAAGCTTGGTTCTTCGGAATTGTTTGCTTTAGTTTGACTTTGATTAAACCTTACAAACTTGCGTCTAGTTCATATCATTATTTTGGAGTACGCAACTATTTGTGCTTAATGCTTGTTGAAGCCTACTTTAAGGCTAAAAGTGGCTCTTTAACTTCATCTATCGACTCGCAAGGCATCCATACCATCACTAATTGGTGATATCAGCAAGAGGGATTCCAGTAACTAATCGACTCTTGCAACACATTGAATAATAACTGTGGATGTGCTATCCTTAAGAGGTTTTATTATCTTAACTAGATTTTTTTCAACTTACAGGCTCTTCATCACGTCTTTCTAAACAGTTTTTCAAATGTTCAAAAGTATCTTCTGCTTTCCACGAAATTCATCTGCTCACCAATCTTTTCCACTCATGCATTCTCATTCTTTGCATATTTCAATTAGTGAAGATAAATAGTTAGCTTTATTTGCTGCTTTGATTCGTTACTCAGATAAGATTTACCTTGTACCTATAATCAATCATAAGATCCTCATGGCAATGACTCGGACTTCAAACCAGAATCTCCAATCAAGGGGTGCACTACCAGACGAGAATATGTACCAAAAAGTACTGATCATAAATATTCAGAGCTCTTTCCAGGGATCTATGATTTTATTAGCAACAATTTAACATGTTACTTAGATTTATTTTTATGAATCCTTTTGAAATTTGTATTCTGTAACTTCTGTAGAGTTCTACTATTCTTCATCTTTGCTTTCAAACAGGTATATGCCTAGGAGATCAACTGGGGGGACTTCATCACTGGACTTGAAGAAGTAGCAAACAATCTTAAGCAAGACAAAAAAGCAAAGATCTTCAAAAGACTTCTTTAATCGGACAACTGGATCTGTTCGGTGGCCAACAATTGCTGCATAATTTCGGAATGAAATCGGCATTCGTCCAGATGATTAATAAGTTCGGTCCAATTTGGTGGCAGAGCCACAGAGATCCAAATACACATATCACATACTTTGTAGAGATCTGCGAATTGTTCAAGATTAATCGATTCTCGAAGAAGGCAATCCATCTGAGATTGTTTCCTCGCCACTATGGAAGAAAGCTAAAAGTTGGTTGTGTTCACTTCCATCTAGGTCCATCACCCCTTGGGATGATATGGATCATAAATTTCTAGCAAAGTCATTTCTGATATGTAATAAGATAACCTCTTTTATACAAATAGAGGGGTCGTTGTTCTACAAGTCCAGGGACAATTCAAGGACCTCCTTAAAGAAGGCCCGGTCTTATGCCATTCCTGTAAGGCTCCAATTCCTAACTTTTTTGTAACAGACTTGACCCTCATACAAGGAACATACATGTATGTACGTGTATATGCGAATCCATACCTAGATATTTCCATTTTTTAACTGCAAGCAATTAATGGAATTTAAGATGCTTCCCATTTATTAGTAACAAGAGATAATAAACAAAGCACACACAATTCAATAAAAAGAAAGACCAACAAAGTTCAGAAGCCTCAAAGTATACCTCTGATATATAAATAGGGACAAGAACCGCATTCGCCCCAATACCAAGACCCACGAAAAATCGTCCCCACAATAACTGGTCCAAAGAGTGGGCTTGTGCACTGTCAAAAGAGTAAGGACTACATATCAAAATTGTTTTGAACAAATAGCAATTTGGATCAAGAAAAGCATAAGTTGTCAAACCATAAAACGTGAAACTATTGACAAAAACACAAAGAACTTCACAATTTCCCTCTGTTTGCATTTAATCTTATATTTGTACAATATTCAGATTTAGCTATCAAATCATCCAAGGTTGTTAATCTGTGATTCTTCTTTCTATAGGTATTACAGCTCTATGATTCTCATTCATCCAACAGATTTTCCCTACATTTAACATGATTCTGAAGTATCACAGACGTTATAGTGCTGTTGTGTCATCAACTCTGGTATCTAAATTACTATGTTAGTAGGTCAGTGCTCTAAAGTCGAATTAAGCCGATGCCTAGGCATCAACACCGCCAGATCAGCTTTGATTTCCATGTGATATCATTATTCATCCGACCAGATTAAGAAGGATTAAGCATCAAACAGTATTTCACTTGTTGATTTGCACATTTTTATGTTACAAACAGTGGCTCGTTATGTGATGTTTGTGGGTCACTTGACTATAGGATAGAAGATATCGTATCATGTTCTTACATTAACATATTGTGCTTAGTATTGCAATCTTATAATAATATAGCATTAATTCATTAATGATGTTAGAATCAACCGCTTAGGAATCCACCTAAAACACAAACATAATGCCTAAATGCTAGAAGGTCCATCAGCCACTTAGCTCTATTAACGCAATGCAATAGATCGCTGAAACATGGTACTATGCTAGTTCCTCGAGGTGCCTGTGTTAGCCCATATGTATATTGTCGCTACATTTGTCTCTTTATAGTGATTTGTGATTGGTTGCAACTGGAGGAGACTGTTACGACCACCACTCATGTATGATCTTCAAATATTGGACTAGCATATCAATAAAATCACAATAGGTAGTTGCCACAGGGAGTCAGGCCAGTCAATGCAAGTAATCACATAAAGGTGAAGAAACAAAAGTATTTTCCTTGAACTTGCCGATAACTTGACTTAAGCATGTGAAACTGAAGTTATAGGAATTGCAGACAAAAATACCTTAAAACTGCACCAAGAATCAGCGGTACTGTGTCAACCTGAAGGGTTCTTCTAAAGCCAAGTCTGTCAACCATGTAACCAGCGCCTGCACTTCCCAGAAAAGCACCTGCAATGAACATGCTCACCACAATCCCCTCAAGTATTGAATTGCCTTCAAACCCTAGCTCTTTGGCAGTAGATACAATAGGACCATTCATCACACTGCATCATAACACAATCACGATCCAAATGTATAAGAGTTTCAAACCTTCACAGTTATGCAAGTCTAGTTATTCGCATGTTGATAGGTCAGAAGTGTATTACCAGCTTAGATAAAACAAAGGCATGCTCTAGAATTAAACTCGAGAAAAAAACGATTGAGAATTCGAAAATGTTGGCCTCTGATTTCAATCACAAATTCCCGCTTTAATGTTTTCTTTTTCTATTAGCATATATTCATATGCATGTGATTACATGTGTTTCATGTAATATTCATTCGTATATAGTGAACTTACCCGATATGGAAACCGAAAAGGAAATTCGACATAGAAGCAACCAGTGTATGAGGAAATGCAGGTAACCATCCCAGGTCGATTTCGTGATCATTCTGTTCTTCTGATACTAAACTTTCCTTCTCTGTCAACGGGAGAAAAAATCAGAGATGATATAATTAAAAACCCTAAACCTTTGCAGATTATAGAAGATGAAACCTGAATTAAAATCGAGCACTTCAGGAATCTCTGATTTCTTAGCACCATACGCCTTGAAATTGAAATCCCCCGGCGCTGAGCAAGTAAGTGGACGAAATGGCCGGTGAATCGAATGCTTCGCACAAGGAATTGTATTCAAAGTACGAACGGTGCAGATGCCGGAGAGTGGTGTAAGCCGTGGGTAGTATACGGCGGCGGTGGCGGTGGTTGCTGCCGACATGAGATCAAACTTATGAGGTAAGAAATTATTAAGGAATTACACGTTTGTCCGTATAAAAGGTAACATAGTTGTGTTATCATTTGTAAAAATAATTTATTGACTTGTTCTAGTATGACAGTAAACATTTTTAAGTGTTTGAATAAATAATTTATACCGATATTAAATCGGTAATAAAGAGTTTTTAAAGAAGTTAAACTCTTCTAACTTATAATAAGTTGATAAGTACTTTTATAAAAAAACATAAGTTGTTTCAAATAAGTAATCTCAAACATTCCTATAATTGTTGTAGTATCCCTACTATCAAATGACTAAATTACCCTTATATAGATTAAAAAACGGTTTACATAAATACATAGCTGTGCCTTTTTTAACCATAGATATTCAGAGCAGCTTATATGTACTCGACTAATCTCAGTGATCCTGGAGAACGGACAAAAAAAAATCTCAATGATCTTCTCCTCTCGTGGTCTCTATCTATAGATCCTAGACAGCGAAGACCATATAGCTATTCATTAAGAAATGCCCGAAATGCCTGAAATGTTTGCTTTAAGCTGTGTATGAAGACCCCACATGCACCTTTCACCCAACGAAAATACCTTGATAATGAAAGTCGACGCCCTTCGAATGGACAATGGGGGAAGGTTTGTCTTCCATGGTAGCTAGGTAGCCCCCGCATGAAGGTGACTCGCCCCCATTGTAGAAATCCCACTCTACAGTCTGATATGTTAATCTATGTGCCAAGGAAGGTAGGCCTTTAAGGAAAGTAATTCATCTGGTAGGTACTACTAACCAGAAGAGATTGAGAAAAGGGGATTTTCTCTTCCTAAGGTCTTCCTATCATTTTCAGTCTGTTTTCACTTCCTCTAATTCAATAGGGATGCTAATATGCTATCATCAAAAACAGGACCTCGAACAGGTGACCTCAGAAGAGGATCTTCAAAGGCCGAAGTCTTATTGTCGGTTGAGTTAACCCTACAAAAGTTAATACAGATCATGTTTGATGAATGGTTATGATCAGTTTTTATGGTTTCTAACAAAATTTCAGTTCGTTACAAAAATTAGTTTCCATCAGTATTTATGGTTTCTAACAAAAACTTAAAGTTGTGGGTTATCAATAACTTATACAAAAAATAGTTTCTATTAAGTGGTGTATTGGCAGGACCTAAGTAAACAATCATACATAGTTGATCGAATAAGGTATAAGTTTCATTAAGTATCATAGATATTTAATTAATAATTTATTTTATTAAATAAATTTATGTTTTTTTGTAGCTTGTTAAGAACCCATTCGACTTTAACCTCATCCAGCCCAATTTTTATACGAATTGTATCGTTTTTAAATAATTTATTGATTAGAGAAAGTAAACTGTTTGACTTGTTACCTTAAATGGTGATATTTATTGGACGTTTTGGTACATGTAATAGAATTGAATGGAATTGAAATCTATCAAAAGAATTTGATTTTGAAGAAAATGAAATGGAATTTAACGGAGTTTTACCTGTGTTTGATTGGTAGGAAGTGGAATTAAATTTCTCAAAAGAATTGGAAATTGGATTTCATTATTTATAAATAATTTATAGAAAAAAATTATAAAAATAATTGAATTACATTTTTATTAATCGATTATTACAAAACAGATGCAATAGTTTATATACAAAAAACGCATAGGTTAATGGGACTGGTCGACTCGACCAGTTACAATCAGTTATTGTTTTTTCTCCTAAAGATCGGTCCAAATCAATTAAGGAAGTACAAGTACAGGACCAAATGGCCTTTAGCCTAGCGGTATGTGAATCTTTTGCCTCCTAAGCGGTCAGGTGTTCAAACCACACAAAAAATGAGGAGAGTGTGTGAGTTTATTTGTTCTATTTACTGTATATAAATATTATATATACTTCAAAAAAAAGTACAAAAGATGTTTATTCAGATGAAAGGACACGTCACGGTGACTGTTCAACAAAAATAAATCTGATGAAGATCATATTAAAATTTCTAAATTGATTGCCAAATATCCAACAAAATTTAAAGTACTAAGAAAATAAAGATTCTGAAGATTGTTTTTCTCTAATAAAATCTCGAACAAAATACAGTAGAAAAGAAAATTATGTCCATATTTAGAAGAGAGAGAAGACAAAAAGTAGATAACTTTCCAGAGCGTACTCGTTATACCAGTTCCATAATCTTTGTTGTATCAGTCGCACGATTTATCAGAACTGATATAAATTAACACATGTATCTGATTTGGCTTTGGAGATAAGTACAATCCCCAAAATTAAATTTTAAAGAAAAACACATTAATTACTTTGTACAACTCATGTCTCAAAACAAGTGTCCACAGTAAAGATCGAACACAGTTTTAAGCGTACATAATTATTACACTTTTTAGTTAATCAAATAAACAGATTTTATGGTTAATTAAATTTATCTATCTATTCAACTCTTAAATATTTATGTACTAATTGAGGGTAAATTTGGAAATTTAAATTGCAAATTCATTTTTTTTATTAACTTGAATATCTAAGCCGCTATGCGAGCTAACTAATCTCAAGACGACCACCTGTTTTATGAGTAGTCCGGAGTCACCGCATTTGAACCCCCGTGGTCACAATGTGATTTTTATTCATTATTGGATTTGAACCTAAGACTTCTTGGTATTTTTGACCTTTGAAGTCCAAAATGTTGGCCTATTAAATGCATAAACTATTTAATAATATATAATTAATAATAAAATCTTCTGAATAAAGGAAAAAAATCTTGAAATTAAATATTAAATTTCTTAATAATATAATTAATGCTACATTATCCACTTCTTCATATCATCACTCAAAAGTCAAAACCATCTATATAATCAACTTCCAACATCTCAAAAACAGCCTCTTCACCCCCTCTGTTTCACACATTCAAAAACACATTCTAAAAATGGTAAGTGTTGGCTTGAACAACTGCATCTTATATTCAGTTTTTTTTTTGCTGTGAAGATTCGGCTTTTTTTATTAACCTGGATATCCAACCCGCTATGCGAGCCGACTAATCGCAGGCGACCACATTTGAACCTCCGTGGCCACAAGGGGATTTTTATTCCTCCTTGGATTTGAACTTGAACCTCCTGATACTTTTGACATTTGGAGCCAAACTCAAACCAATCAGTCACCACCCTTGTGGTTAAGATTCGGCTTTTTTTTTTACCTTCATAGCATTTTACTGTAAAGTTGTAAATGTAAAAAAATGGTCCCACGGATTTCATTTTTATCAGGTGTCTTCTGTTCCCCATGCTGACAAAGAGGATGAATCACCCCTAGATTTCAGAGGAAATCCTGCTGACAAGTCTAAAACTGGTGGCTGGCTTGCTGCTGGTCTCATTTTAGGTACCCATAATCTCTTTCTTTCTAAAGTATATAATATTTAGGGAAATTATTAGTCTTTTTTATTTTATTTTATTCTTATTTTAGTCAAAGTTTACGTAAATGTTTTATGCATTTACATAAACTCGATTTTCAGATTAAAAAAAAAGTATTTTTCTGCGTAAAGAATCAAATTTTTGAGTAAAGAATTCTTATGCGTATGCGTAAGGATTTCTTTTGCTCCATAAATCGGTCTTTACGCAGATGGGTAAAACATCTGCGTAAAGACTGATTATTTTGGGAGTAGACTCTAAAAAGTGGCTAAAAAGTGAATTTGATTGATGGGATCGGCTAACACGTTGTGAGTCCCAATAAGCTCATTTAAGCTGCTAACAAACAGTCCCTTAATTTTTCTTCGTGCATTAGTAGTTGTCAATTGTCGATATTGCCCTTCGTGTTTCCCTTGATTGTTTTAACCTATTTTTCTCGCTTTTGTCCTTGACGCCTTGCCTTGTCTGTATAAACATACACGTTGCTTGATTGCACACGCTCTCACGTGCAGCTTGCTCTCTTGTTTTTTTTAACTTTTTTGTTTTACAAAACAGGCGTTTTCACCATGAAAACAACCTTTGTATCCCTTGGGGCATAGGAAAGGTTTGCATACATCCTAACTGGACTCCACTTGAACGAGTTTATTGGGTTTGTTTGATCTGGTTTTTGCATACATCCTAACTGGACTCTACTTGCACGAGTTTACTGGGTTTGTTTGGTTTGGTTTTTGCATACATCCTAACTCGAGTCTACTTGCACGAGTTCACTGGGTTTGTTTGGTTTGGTTTGGTTTTTGCACACATCCTAACTGGACTCTACGTGCACGAGTTTACTGGGTTTGTTTGGTTTGGTTTTTCCCGTTTGTAGGTTATTATGAACGTTCCGTTGTCATCAAGTAAACCTTTGTATGCTAGTGTTTTTCCATACTAATTTGTTGTACCAAAGGAAAAAAAAACATGTTCACTGAGCCAAGATATATCGTCCCTACGTAGGAATTGAGCTCTCGGAGAGAATATGTGTGATGGGTGTATCGATGAATTTAGTAACGTACCTGCGTGGACGACTGCATCTTTCCTCATCGGAATCTGCAAACATCGTGACAAATTTCATGGGATCTCTCAATCTGCTGGCCCTTTTCGGAGGATTCTTAGCAGATGCTAAACTCGGCCGATACATGGCCATTATTTTCTTTGCATCTATCTGCGCCGCTGTAAGTTTTCAAGATCAAAGTCTCGGTTTTTCCTTTGCACCCACCTGATCACGATCGTATAGCAGGTAAAATTAGATCCAAACATGCGAAATATGGTCATAAAGAAGGAAAAACGAAACCATGTGAAGGAATTACTTCGCTTACGTTTAAGTTAAGGTTATTTCGGCCTTCACTTCGGCTAGTACAGAGTTGGACTAAAAGTTGAAATGCTTATATGCATTTATATTTGGCCAAAATGCAACGAAGTTTGTCTTGGTTCCTATTTAGTGTAACAGACGTTCACTTCTTCGTATTTTGTGGCCACGGAGGTTCAAGTGCGGTGACTCCGGGCTATCTGCAAAGCAGGTGGTCGCCTTAGGATTAATCGGCTTGCATAGCGGGTTGGATATCCAGATTAATAAAAAAAAACAAAATAAAACTGAAACTAAGGCAAACTTCGTTACATTTTGATGCATTTAACCCCTGTTTATAATAAGCACCCCCAAGTCTAATTAATTTTTTTAAGTATATAATATTTATATCCGGCAAATACTCAAGTCTAATTCGTTGAATCAGGGTATGATATTATTGACACTAGAAACGACCATCCACGGCATGACACCACCTCCCTGTGACAATTCGGGTAGACCAAAATGCATAGAGGCCAACCGAACCCAACGAGCCATGCTCTACATAGCCCTTTACACCATAGCACTGGGTGCTGGTGGCATAAAATCAAACGTTTCAGGATTCGGGTCCGACCAATTCGACAAGTCGAACCCAAAAGAGGAAAAGGCAATGGTTTACTTTTTCAACAGGTTCTACTTTTGTGTCAGCCTTGGATCTCTTTTTACAGTAACTGTGTTGGTGTACATACAAGATCATGTAGGTCGAAAATGGGGGTACGGGATATCGGCCGGGACTATGATTATCGCGATCGTTCTGCTGCTATCGGCTACGATGGTTTATCGGTATAAAAAACCGCATGGGAGCCCTTTAACTGTCATATGGAGAGTGGTGTTTTTGGCTTGGAAGAACAGGAGATTGTCTTACCCTGATCATCCCAGCTTCTTGAATGGCTACAACTCCTCAAAAGTCCCACACACAGAGAAATTCAGGTATATATTCTAAAAGCAGGACTAATCCGTCATTTCTTTCATCGCCCCCCAATATTCGCACCTACGGTCCAACCAATTGGCAAAAGGGGGGGGGGGCGATGTAGCTCAGTTGGTAGAGCTCCGCTCTTGCAATTGGGTCGTTGCGGTTTCTTTCAAAGCAACATAAGTATTAGTGATAGCGATCACTTGATGCGTTTAAGGGTGCGTCAAGACTGGGTTGGACGGGTGAGAGTGAGGTAGGCGGGTGAAATGATTTGACATGGGTAGTTTAGTAATTTACCAATCTTGTCCTATCTCATAGATTTTTGTTCCATCTATTTTGGTGGGACACACTCAGGTCTGGGCATGTACTGTCCCAATCTAATGTCGCGCCAAATTTGGGACAACTAGTTTTTGAATTGTCATGTCTCGCGTACAAAACACACCTAAGGTGCTTTTGGTACGGACGAAACAAAACAAATCAATGATTACTGTTCCATGTTTGGCATGATTTTTATGTGGAACAAACATGAACAAAGTGGAACATGTGTGTTCCACCCCATGGAACAAGATGTAACAAACTTATATTTTACCAATATACCCTTAACATAAAACCTAATTTTCTTCTAAAAAATCAAACACACATCCATCTTTAAATTATATCCATTCTTTAAATTTTATTTATTGTATTTTATCCTATTTAAACTTTCACTTTATTGCCCTCAAAATATTATTTTCATACGTTTTCTATACTTTGGTCAATTTATGTAATTTATTAAATATTGATAATAAAAAGTAATATAGAAAAGATATAAAATAAAAATTGGAATTACACCAACTTTATAGGTTGGTGTCATTTTAATCATCAAGACAAAAACTTTCTAACGATATATTTTGTTAAAAAAACATTTTTTTTTGTTATAATTTAATAAATTACATAAATTATTCAAAATATAGACAAAATATAAACAACTCGTTAAGGTTAAATTGGTCATTTCACCGGTCTTGTTCAGTCTTGTCTTACCAAAAGTTGAACAATTATCCTTCCTAAGTTGTCCGGATACCAAACGCACCCTAAAGGAACTTATTCGAAGTAGTCAAGACACACATGGAGAAACTTAGGGGCCGTTTACCAAACACTTATCGAATCATTTACTTGTCGGGTAAGATTTTAGTTCAGCAAAACGGCAATGTATGCAACAATTTACTCGGTAAACACTAACCATGGTAAGAGTCGTCGTCCACACTTATATGGTAAAACTTTTGGTCCTTGTTTCGCTCTTACCAGGTAAGATTCTTGGTCATTACCATATTCATCCTCTAAGGTAATGTGACTTGATAAACACAGGTAATATGACTTGATAAACACTTACCCAGATAAGCATTTGGTAAACGACCCGTAGGCCAATCCTCACTAACATTTACCCACAGACAAGTGAAACAACAAAAATAGAAACAGAAACAGATTGGCTATACCATAAAGCCCAAGTCCCAAAAGCAGATAACTTTATCCCCTTCATGTAGCAAATCTAATAACATAAACCACAAAGGTGGTACCTGATTGACTTAAGCTTGGGCTCCAAAGATCCTAGGTTCAAATCCAAGGAGGAATAAAAATCCCATTGTGGTCACGGAGGTTCAAATAAGGTGACTCTGAGCCACCCGCAAAGCAGGTGGTCGCTATGGCGTTAATCGGCTAACATAGCGGGTTGGATATCCAGGTTAATCAGAAAAAAAAAAATCTAAGAGCATAAAAAACTGATTTCACTAGCTACCTAGGAACTAACTGCACTTAGTTGTTTGGCAATTGCTGAATGGTTTGGTGCAGAATGATTAAGTGATCAGAATGATTAAGAGGATCTCATGATATAGTGCAAAATGAAATATAATTGTTTGATAATTGTGTACAATGAAATTAGGGCTCTTAATGGTTAAGGGAGATCCAGGATACAAAATCATTCAAAGGGTTTTAGAACCATTAAGAGGCAGACTTTTATTTTGCCAAACAAGATTCACCTTTTAACGATTCAGAGGTTGCCTCTTAATGAAACTATTAAGAGATAAATAAAATTTTCTATGGTATAGGTGCATTGACAAGGCTGCACTGCTGGATGATTGGAGTGTCTTAAATGAAGACAGAAGCAATCCATGGATAGTTTCAACTGTAACTCAAGTTGAAGAAGTGAAGATGGTCATAAAGCTCATACCAATATGGTCAACATGCATCCTCTTTTGGACAGTTTACTCCCAAATGAACACTTTCACCATCGAGCAAGCGACCACCATGAACCGAAAACTCGGTGGCTTCGATGTCCCTCCAGGCTCATTCTCCGTCTTCCTCTTCGTATCCATCCTCTTATTTACCTCCATTAACGAAAGGGTCGTTGTTCGTGTTGCAAGAAGGATCACCCGTAATCCGAAAGGACTAAACAGTCTTCAACGAATAGGAATCGGCCTGGTTTTCTCAGTGGCTGGAATGGTGGCTGCTGCTGTTTGTGAGAAGAGAAGGAAAGAAATGCAGCTTAATGGAGGAACCAAGATGAGTGCTTTTTGGCTTGTTCCTCAGTTTTTCTTGGTTGGTGCTGGTGAAGCTTTCGCTTACGTTGGCCAGCTTGAGTTTTTCATCACGGAAGCACCCGAGAGGATGAAATCCATGAGCACAGGACTGTTCTTGACTACTTTAGCTATGGGCTATTACGTGAGTAGTTTGTTAGTGTCGTTAATCGACGTAGTAACGCATGAGAGCTGGCTCAAAAACGATTTGGATCAAAGCAAGTTGAACAACTTCTACTGGCTGCTTGCAGTTATGGGAGTGCTGAACTTTTTGATTTTTCTGATTCTATCATCCAGACACCAGTATAAATTGCAGCATCTTAATGGACCTGCTTAATGGCTGCAAGAAAGATGTAAGGTTTATCACAAAAGGAAGAAGCCCAGTACACATGTATCATGGTGAGATTTGATGTTCAAATTATCATACAGCAGTTTGAAATAGATGTATGTAGCATATGAATGGATTCTCTTCGCAGTTCATGGTATGTTCCTGTCAAATAACTACTTGTAAGTCCATTGTGTCAACTTATGCAGAAATTCAAGCCAACTATTAAGTCACAAAACAAAAGGGCTTTTGGCTTAGCGGTATGTGAGTCTTTGGCCTCCTAGGAGGTCACCAAAGTGTGGAGAGTGTGTGAGTTTATTTGTTGCATTTGCCGTATATACTTCAAAAAGAAAACTATTAGTCACCCAAGATTAAGTTGCTTATGTGTTAAAAAGTGTCCATTCAAGACAATTGAATGCTCCATAAGAGAATTTGTTAAAAATGTAGCCCTTTTTGAAGTATTTAGCATTCATAGACGACAGATATTCAAACATACTTCTCACCTTTGGTGAGGTTCGAACCGTTAACCTACTCTAGGAGACTTGGTAACCCGTGTACCATTAAGCCAACATCAACCATGAAAAGATATCTGAATGTGATAACCTTCATTAGAATACACAACGTATTACACAGGAACCAACCTCTAGAACCAATAGTTCGTTATCTAATGGATCTTTCCGTTCTAATACTTTATCCGAGAGTTATCAGTATATACCAAATCTGTTCCTATCTAACAGAATTTTGAGATTTGTACCTTTGTAGCATCTAAATATATGCCACACAAGCAGATGAAGTAGCAGATGATGATATATTGATATCATAACAGTATCTGCCAAAGGTATCATGAACAGATCATTCTTTTTTTTTTTTATTAACCTGGATATCCAACCCGTTATGTGAGCCGACTAATCCCAGGTCGACCACCTACTTTGCAGATAGCCTGGAGTCACCACATTTGAACCTCCGTGGCCACAAGGAGATTTGTATTCCTCCTTGGATTTGAACCTGAACCTCATGGTACTTTTGACCTTTGGAGCCAAGCTCAAACCAATCAGGCACCACCCTTGTGGTTCAGATAATTACGAACTACTACGATAGCTTAGAAAACGAGAGCATATAAATGTCTTCAAGAAAGGAGGGAGTCTCCTCCATGTTATGCATAATCTCAATTACATGCACTGCAAGATCATGATCAGCAAACATGAACAATGCAGATATAACTGGTTTATCAGAAGAAGTTTGATATGTCACATCATATATCACAAACCGAACGTTTCGATTCATGATTCTCAAAATTATGAACTAGGCAAAGTTGGTTCCTCTTTTCTACAATTTTCCCATCTCAAACTCCAAATTCAAAGTCTTTTTTTTAACCACAACGGTGGTGTCTAGTTGGTTTGAGCTTGGGCTTCAAAGGTCGAAAATGTCTGGAGGTCCATTAAGATGCTGCAATTTTAAAAATACTTATTCACATTGGCCCGTCCTCAATATGTCTAGTGGTATTAACGAGTAGATTAGTATCAGAGGTGATCATTTGCGGGCCTAGGTTGGGTCTGGGTCTGGGTCCGGCCTAACTTGTTTTTTGTCCAACAGGCCTAATATTGTAAACTTTCGGACTTGATAACTTGTTATTGTCCGTCCTATAAACGAGTCGGTCTTACCTACGGGCTAACGGACGTAAAAAGTGTAACTCTTCCAAGGATTCTTGTATGTTGAAGATGAGGGAGAGAGAGAGAGAGAATGAGCAAAAGAGAAAAGAAAAATATGTAGTATTATGAGAGATCTGAGTTATGTTCTTTGTTAGCAATTTAGAATCAATTAGAAAATAAAATAAAATAAAATAATAATTATTAAATATGTCAGTAAAATTGAAAACTTGGATTATGAAATTTCGAAACAAAATTTTTAAATTGGATCATACTTCCAAATTCCAATGAAGCTTACTAGTTTAGCCTTTTAGGTTCCAAAATATAACCAAAAAGTCTCATTCTATAACTTAAATAATTTAGTTTTAAGATATACTATTATAATTTTAAGTAATGGTAAAAAAATATTAATTATAAAATATAAACGGGCTACGCGGACCTGTCCATATTTATTCTTACATTGTTCATGTCCTTCCGTTAATTTTAACGAACAAACCCGTGTCCGTCCATTTTCTTGATAATGGTTGTCCAAGCCCGTTTTTCTAGTGAGCCAGATGGGCCGAGTCTAACGGGTCCTCCCGTCCATGAACAACTCTTAGTAGTATCTTGTTTGAGCTCGACTCAAGCTCCAATTACTTGTTTAAAATAGTACTCGAGCACGAATTTTAACTCGAAAAAGTGCACGCTTAGATGGTTCAGCTGAACCCGACTTGAAAATTTTAATCGAGTTTTGGAACTAGCAGAGTCAAACATAAGTATATAAAATTTGGCTCGTTAAGTTGACCTAACTTTATTCTGGGTTAGATTTTTACTCGAGCTCGAGTAACTCATTAAAAACTCAAATCGTTAAGAACCCTTCTTTCACGAGGATGCAAATTGAAAAGTAAAAACCACTTTGAGGTATTATTTAAAATAAATATAAGTATAGGGCAAATTAAGATTCAGATTGAAACTTGAGGGACGAAAACTGTAATTAGACACTTTTCATAATTGGCCAGTGCTGCTTGAATGGTTTGAACAAGGTTTATCCGATCGTACTCGGAAGATGTTCAAAGGTTTTGCTTGCTTTAACGTGTACCATACTCGTACGCACATCCAATTGATCAAACCCTAACCAATGTCACTACAATAAGGTCGGATTTTGAATTATTCTCTCTGTAGCTGAAAGTGTTCGTGAACGATGGTTGTGATTCAAGTTCAGCTTCAAACCCACCCATCGAAATTCAATGGCTTCTCTCAACACCCATCTGTTTACAATATTCAAAGATCAAAGAAGCTGTCTTTGCAAGCCAAAGCAATCTCTTCAAGAACTCAGGTACTCATTTCTTGATTTTTTATATAGAAATAGTGTTTACGTGAATGTGTCTGTGCATCCATAATCATGTTTGTATATATGCACAGAAGGTGTTTGATTTTTTGTTTATCTGGTTCATGGGACTAAAACTGTTTTTTTTTTTTTTTGCTTTTCTTTCTGGGGAACGTAGAGGATAATGGAGAGCATTTCAGTAGGTGGGGAAGTTGGTGGAGCTGGAGGGGCATACTCATATGATGCTTTGAAGAGATTGGATAATTTGTGGTCTAGTATTTGTTCTGATCAGAGAGGTTAATTTCTATGTTTTTCTACAATTTTGGATCATGTTTTTCTATTGCAAGTCAAATTGGAACATGGTTATGGTTTATATGGAAATGAGGAAATCTATGTGAACTGCAGTTGTTCAAGAACCCAAACAAGTTGTCTCAAATACCCCTGGTTTGTTTAGCGAATCTGATATTGCGGAGAAAGAAGTGGATAAATTTGATGTGTTGGTTTGTGGGGGTACTTTAGGGATCTTCGTTGCCACGGCCTTAAGTTTGAAAGGCCTTCGAGTAGGAATTGTGGAAAGGAACCAACTGAAAGGGGTATATACATTCTGGTGTGCAATTTTTCTTTATGATCTGTGGCTTGTTGTGATCAGTGGTTATGTGAATCAATCTTTTTGACATTTGAGTTGATTTAACATCAGAGAGAACAAGAGTGGAATATATCAAGGAAAGAGCTCTTGGAACTTGTTGAAGTTGGCATCTTAACAGAAGATGAAATTGAGCTGACAACAACTTCAGTGTTTAATCCTGTAAAGAAGATCCAACTTAACCTTCAGCAAACTATGAATAATGCTTGGTTTATTTGAACTCAAGAAGTCCTTAATTTCTGATTTGCAGAACAGATGTGGATTTGAGAGGAAGGGAGAGATATGGGTTGAAAACATTCTTAACCTTGGTGTTTCGTAAGTTCTCCTATAGATTTTTCTAAGGTTCCGTGGGTGTGTTTGATACGCAGGACTGGACAAGACATGCCAGTACAATAACTTCTTGTCTCATGTTTGACACGATATTAGGAGAAGACTGGACTTGAGTGACATAAAAATGCATTTTTTTGTCCCACCAAAATAGGTGGAACACACATCAAGAATATGGGACAAGATTGGTAAATTACTAAATTATCTATTCAAATTAGAACCCCAAAAAACCTTCCAATCATGTCATTCCAATCCGGTCCGCATACCAAACGCACCCTTAATATTGTCTTGGATAATTCAGGCTCTGCGTCATTCACAATTTGGTGGTTTATTGTTATTTTGTAGGCCTGCCAAGCTTATAGATATTATGAGAGAGCGATTCAATTCGCTTGGAGGGACGATCTTTGAGGGTTGCAGCGTATCTAGCATAGACGTTTATCAGGATATAGCAGTAAGATCCCCAATAGAAATATAGTTTTATTGGTTGGTTCAGATTGAACAATAGGCTCTTGTTTCTACCTTATCTACTTGCTCAAAGTTAATTACAGTCTGGATAAAGCCGTCCATATGATTAATCTGTTTGTATAGATCAAGAAGGTTTTTGTTCAGGAGGTTTTTTCATAGATGTAAGGAGCATGTTTTTTAATTGGAATGGACGGGTTTGAAAAAAAAACTTGACATTATGTATAAAGCTCCCTCCTAGAAGCTTATTCAGCCAATTTCTATATCATTAAGCCACTACCAAAAGTCATATATAGCTGACGGAATAAGTTGCAAGTCCCTGATTTCAAACAGGCCCTCAGTTTGCCTAATTGCTGTTCAACATGCTAAGCAACTGACATGAATATATAACAATGACTGCCAAAAGTGTACTTAAAACTCCATTTTGAAGGTACTGCAACTAACAGAGGGAAAGATCTTGTCAGCTTGTCTCATAATAGATGCAATGGGGAATTTTTCGCCTGTTCTCAAACAGGTTACAACATCAAGACTTTTATACAATAAGGTAGTCTGATTATAATCGAGCTGTAAGCTGATTTTAGCATAATATACCACAGATTAGAGGAGGCAAGAAGCCCGATGGCATTTGCCTTGTCGTTGGTTCTTGTTGTTGTGGTTTCAAGGAAAATTCCAGCAGTGATGTCATATTCAGTAGTGCTGAAGCGAAGCCGGTTGGCAACTCAGAAGCACAATACTTTTGGGAGGTAATTATGTCCCTAGACCGCACCTTTCAGTTTGGTTTGGTTTTGTTTGAGAATGTCATTGTGGCCGATGCTTTTGAGATTTCCAAGCTTATCGTTTTACTAAACCAACAGGCATTTCCTGCTGGTTCTGGACCGTTGGATCGAACTACATACATGTTCACTTATGTTGAACCACAACCTAGTAGCCCAAAACTGGAAGAATTGCTAGAGGATTACTGGGATCTGATGCCTAAGTATCAGGTAATCTACTGGAACTTTCTCTGTTTCTCCATAGTCCATACAGGAAAAATTCATGTTGCATGCATGTTTTAGAGATTTTCTGCCTCAATTCTAGTGTCGTTTCTCTTTCCTCTATTTCAGACTATCGTCCAACTTTTAAAACCAGATGTTTCTAACAGATACATCTTACCCTTCCCAGACTCTATTTTGTATGGGTCTCATTGGGTTTGTTTGGATTGGTTTATTGATGTTTTAGAGATCCTTTATTAGAGGAAAAAAACAGACGCCTCGTGTTTTCATCGTAATATATATTGATGGCAAGATTTTGCACTTTACGCAGGAAGTCACTTTGGATGAGTTAGAGATCCTAAGAGTTATATACGGCATTTTCCCTACGTATCGTGACAGGTAAAAATTATAGTCGGTAAAAGCTTTTCTTAGTTCTCCATAGCGGCGATAAGCTAGAATTTTTTTTTTTTTCAGTACCCATGAGCGAAAGTTCAGCAAGTCTCGAGAGAACTCTTTAAACACAGTCTTCCCATCACGTATCCACAAATTGTTTTCCATGATTCAAATCTTAAATTTCGTTCCAGGGCTTGTCTCTAAGCAAGGACCGATAGTATGATAGTATCTTAACTTATTATTGATTTAGATCTTCGTATTCATCTTTTATGGCATTCAGACATATACATCGATCTGAAAATCTGACCGACTGACTAGTTTTTCTTCGTTTTGGAGAGGTGAATCTGCAGTCCGTTGCCAGCAGCTTTCAATCGTGTTCTACAGGTGTAATACTAAACTCTTTTAAAGCTTGTCCAATGCAAATTCAGATCAAGTATCGAATTCCCATTACACTATTACTCTCTGCAGTTCGGTGATGCCAGTGGCATACAATCTCCAGTTTCCTTTGGTGGTTTCGGGAGCTTGACCAGGCACCTCGGAAGACTAACAAACGGTAATTGAAGTAGATAACTAGTTCAATTTTTACTAAAAATCAAAGTGTCACTACAACAAAATCGACCTTAGAGAATGTCAAATATCTCTATTGCCGTAATAAGCTGTTTTATGGGACTAATTTTAATAGGACCAAGTGCGTCATATGTAAAAGTGTTACAATAATTTGATATGACACTATTGTCTTAACAAGTTTTTAGGACATTTTAAAATAAAGTGTAATTAGCTTTTTTTAACGACGCTTTTGAGAAATGTCCTATGAACATCCTCTTATATAGGACATTTGCTTTAATAAGATGCTTTTTCAAAGAATGTCATATAAAAAGACTAATAAGACGCTTTATTTTAAAGGTATCCTAAAAAACTTGTTAACCCAGCCAAAAATGTCCTATCAACTTATTATAACACTTTTACATAGGAAGTTTTAAATCAATCTTGTTTTTGGGGGGGGGGGGGGGGGTTGCTGGGGAATGAGCCAATTATATTATATAAAACCAAACAAATTCTTTTATTTTAGTTCTCATTAATTGTTGCTTAATATATTTAACCAGACACTCCCTTAAAAACACATTTGGCATCCTATAAAGGCCGATTTTGTTGTAGTGCCTACTCTTTGCCGGGACGAAGGAGTATCATAACTTTTAGATTTAGGAAGTAGGGTCTATGATTAATAATGGCTTTAATTTTCATCTAAGTTGATGGCATTTCAGGAATACATGAAGCAATCAGTGCAAATCTCCTGGATTCAGACAATTTGTCATTGTTGAATCCATACATGGTCAGCATCTCCTTTTGGCTAGATTATGATCAATTTTGGATGTTAATGTTTTCACTTGAATGAAATATATTTTTCAGCCAAACCTGAGTGCATCTTGGTTATTCCAAAGAGCCATGTCTGCAAGAAAACAAGCCGGGGTCTCACCGGATTTCATCAACGAGCTTCTCTATGCCAATTTCCAGAGCATGCAGGTACCGCTTTTGTAGCTTTTAACTCACGATATTGCCTCTGAATCGTGCTTATTTGCTCGTTGTGTTTCCTCAGAGGCTAGGGGATCCCGTGCTAAGACCATTTCTTCAGGTAACTTGTTACATTTTGCTCTCTACCACAAGTGTTGGGAAGAAAAGTGAAACTTAAGAGGCTTTTTACCAAATGCTTACGGGTGTAGCTTACCTTACTGGGTAAGCATGACAAAGACCGAGAATCTTACCCGATTAATAAGAGAAAAGGCTCTTACCAAAAATTCATTTTGATGGCCAAGAATTTCACCAATAAGGTAAGTGAAGGTGGTGCTTGCTAGTAAACGCTTATCTGATAAGCATTTGATAAACAACCTTTAATTTGACTCACTCCCTGTAGGTGACACAAAAATGTACCGGAAACGGTCTCTTTACCCTTGGGTAGAGGAAAGGTTGCATACATCTTACCCTCTCCAAACCCTACTTCTGGAATTTACCGAGTTCGTTTGCTTTTATCTGATACAGGATGTCATACAATTTGGACCTCTCGTGAAGACGTTAGGCCTGGTTATGCTCACAAAACCTCAAATCCTTCCTTCAATATTTAAGCAGGTAAATGGTGTGTTTAGTACGCAGGACACGATGAGACATGCAAAACAAAAACTTGTTTGTCCCACACTTGGTGCGACATTAGATAGGGACATCACAAGAATCAATGGGACAAAAATATTTTTTTTTTGTCCCACCAAAATAAGTGATGCAACAATCAGAAATAAGACAAAATTGGTAAATTACCAGATCACCTGTCTAATAAAAACCCTAAAACCTTGCACAATTTTTTCACCTGTCTATCTCCCTATCGCCCCTCCCATCCAATACAGTCTCGTTTGTGTACCAAAGGAACATATATAAACCTGGTCTTTTTCCAACAGGTTGGCTTCCCGGTGCTAATAGATTGGCTAGGACATTTCTCACTGTTGGGTTCTTATACGTTTCTTTCCATATTCATCGACCCATTAATAAGGTATGATCTTTTACGACTACTACTTTGAGACATTATGAATCTTCTTAGATTGCAAGATGATTACACAACCGTTTTTAACATTCTGATAGGCCCATGATCGATACGTTTCCAACTGAGACGAAGTACAAATGGAAGAGACAACTTGAGGCATGGAAATATGGATCCGGTCTAGATTACAAATTCGAAAGTGAAGACACGACCAAAGAGTACGTTGGACAAAAACCATTAGAATCAAAGATCGGAAGCCAAAATACTATCTGAAGCTATCTTCTAGCTCGAAATCCGGATTAGCAGCTAATCTCTGGTATTAAAAGTGTAAAATATATGTTTAATACATCCAATTTTTGCTTTCTAGTAAAATGAAAACATGTAATACAACAAATTGACTAAATTACTTATTCATTATTACTCGTATACAACAACTATAATAGATAGATAGATAGACAGAGAAACACACGAAAGATCATGTGAGAATAGGAGTTAAAGTAAGAAGAGTAAGAAGGGATCTAGACCCTCGATCAGTTTTAATCTCACCCCACCCCATGAATTGCGCTTGACATGGGAATTGATCTGGTGCATCTCGATGCACCGCATTAGTGTTGATCTTCAATTACGATTAATCCAAAGGTGGAGATCTCTTCTTACCCTTCTCACCATAACTTTCATCCTCACTGAAACCCTATATATGTAGAGGGAAGGATCATGTGAGAAGTTGATCAATTTAAGAGAAGGCAAGAAGTTCCGATATCGTACATGATCACGTGATGCAAGCACGTCCAAGAGGGACGCAAGTAGCTTGGTGAACACGACCTTTTGATCGCCCGCTGTATGCCGGTCAATGCAACATGTGTTTAATCATATATGATTACGTACTCGTATCACATGTAATCATGTATGATCTTGGAACTTTTTACCTTCTTAAAGATTGACCATCTTCTCGTTTGAACTTGACATACATATATATACATATAAATATATATACATATATATATACATATATATATATATATATAACACCATGTAAAACTATTTTAAGAAGTTTTAGTGAGTGTTAACTTATCAATCAGGATGATCTCTTGGCACCCAACATTCTTGAAAGCTCTTTAATCATAGGCTTCTCTTTAATGTCTTCATCCTTCTCCATATGCCATTTCTTTGATACACCTTCGGCCTGAAGTGTACAACGTTAGATCGCGCACGTTTTATATCAAAACTATTTGATTTTATAACATACCCAAGTTCGTAGAGGGGCCATGTGCTCCTTGATCGATTCAAATTTTGGCTGAACGATATCTTTTCCTTTGGTTCGAATATCATTGGTCTACAAAACACTTCGACAACGTCAACAATGCAATCTTGACAAAAAACCCACGATGAATCCAAGAAAATTGAAGGAATTACATGAGGTTTACTTACGGTATGTAGCTCGAGCCGTGAGACTGCAAGTCCAATCGTCAATGTGGCTCCACCAAAGACGATAGCAGTGGCAGCAGCAAATGCTTTTGCAACTAGTAACAAATAAAAGAAAAACGAGCATGTAAACCTCCATATAGGCGTATACTAAACCAAACGTATGAATTAAGTTGACCGTCTGGATAAATTTCTCTATCAGGTAAAAATGTAATGTTGTTTGATAGAGACAAAGAGGTTTGGATTATTTCTAGGGCATTTTTGGTGTTAATTTTTTTGAGGTCGCTTGATAGGGACAAGTGAGGGGTCCTGGCTTATTCCATATAGCCATTTTGGCTTAACGATTAAGCCGTAAAGAAACACTCCTGTATGGCTGAGCGAATAAGCTACTCGTACCATTAAGCTCATTAAATAATAAGTGGGATCTGGAGAGGGTGACCCGGACACCCAGAATTAACAAAAAGAAATACGGAGCTATTTGGTTGGTTTTCCATTAAGTCATGTATGGGTAAAGCTGTCCGTATGGATTAATCTGTCTTCATAGATTGGGAAGGTTTCTGATTGGGAGGGTTTTTTCATAGATGGAAGGAACGTGTTTCTTAATTGGAATGGGCCGGTTTGCAAAAAACTTGGCTTTCTGCATAAAGCTCTCCCTAGAAACTTACTGAATAATCCACTTTCTATATCATTAAACCACTATCAAACAGTCATGTATAGTTGACCAAATAAGTTGTAAGTCCCATTAAGCTCTCAAGTTCCTAACAAACAGGCCTACAAATAGACAATTTTGGTGCTAAAAGGCAAACAAGTTATAAAAAAAAAAACTTGAGAGAAACTTACTTTGCGATAATCCAACAGCTGCAGCCTTCAACCTCTCAGAATTCATCGGGGTGTATTTGTCATTACGTAGTTCATTCGCAGTTGACGCAGCAAAAGAATTCTCTGCATTAGGAAATTGCCATCTGCAGGTACGATTAAACCTCAGATTCTACTATTGAGTGGGATATACCAGAGTCAGTTTGGTTTAAAACTACCAAGAGAATTTATAAAATTTTAATGGTCGTGTGACACGTTATCAATAAAATATAACTCAAGGGTGGTGTCTGATTGGTTTGAGCTTGGCTCCAAAGATCAAAAGTACCAGGAGGTCTCAGGTTCAAATCTAAGGAGAAATAAAAATCCCCTTGTGGCCATGGAGGTTCAAATGCGGTAACTCCGGGCTATCTGCAAAGCAGGTGGTCGTCCTGGGATTAGTCGACTCGCATAGCAGGTTGGATATCCAGGTTAATCATAAATATATATAAAACTCAAACTAATCCGATTTAAGTTTCAATTTCCTGTAAATTGGTTGAAATTGCCCTCCAACCAAAATGGATCATTCTTAATAATAAAGCCCATTTTAGACCCTCGGCCATGTAGCTCGGTTGACGAAGAGATTGAGCGGCTTTGCTGATATACACAATAGGTTCAAGCTCGAATACTGTTGGAGACAGGCTTAACCGCTCCGCTATCCCCAGACAATGAGTCTAAGGGCTGTTTGGTTGGTTTTTCATTCAGTTTTGTATGTATAAAGTTATCTACTTGGATTAATCTGTCTCTATGAATTGGCAAAGGTTTTTGTTTAAAGGATTTTTTCATAGGGGCAGTAAAAAGCCATCTAGAGACTTAACGGGTTGTTTGTTTACTTCTTAATAGTTCCATTAAAAGGCAACCTCTGAATCGTTAAGAGATGAATCTTGTTTGGCAAATAAAAGTCTGCCTCTTAATGGTTCTAAAACCCTCTGAATGATTTTGTATCATGGATCTCCCTTAACCATTAAGAGCCCTAATTTCATTATACACAATTACCAAACAATTATATTTCATTTTACACTACATCATGAGAGCCTAGCCTTTTAATCATTATGCACCAAATCATTAAGCAATTGCCAAAGAGCCTGTGTAAGCCACTTTCTATAAATTAAGCCACCAAACATTCATTTATAGTGCTATTAAGCTCATTTTTACACTACATCATGAGAGCCTAGCCTTTTAATCATTCTGACTAGTTAATCATTATGCACCAAATCATTAAGCAATTGCCAAACAGCCTGTGTAAGCCACTTTCTATAAATTAAGCCACCAAACATTCATTTATAGTGCTATTAAGCTCATTAAGCTGCTATGAAATGCCTCCTAACATATGATTCCTCGGTGGTATTAATCAACCTTTTTAGCTCAAATAAACCCGATTTTGGGTCCAATGATTGTTCAAATTATATATAAAATTAATGAAGTAAGAATATTGTTAAGTACCTTTTGGGTCCAAAAGTGACTTGGGGAAGGGAGACGTAAGCCCTAAGAGGGTTTATAGCATCGCGAGATACAAAAGAGGCGCCATTGCTGTCATCAGCAGGGTGGAGAAGCCACTTCGATCCAGTTGTCAGAGTCGAATCGGACGGTGGTCGGAAAATCCTGGACGGTAAATTGTGCTTTAAAATCTCCGGAAGGATATCGGCTTCGTTGTCAAGAGTTTCACGAATTGGCGTTGCCGGAGGACGATTACCGGCAGCAACGGTGGGTTTATTGGTTTTTTCAACGAGACGACCGACGGCGTGCTTGGATTCTTGTAGGAAGTAAGCACCTTCTTTACCGGCCGCTAATCTTCCGACGATAAAACTCATCGGAAAAACCCTCCACTCAATCGATGTTGGTTGATTTGTGGTTTGGCAGATGAATTTTGTATGTGATGTTTATATATAGGGTTTGGCGGATGAGTTCTGCCATGGAGAATTTCATTAGATAAACAGGTGATATATTTTTACGCTGTGTTCTCTTGCTTGAAGAAAAAGAAAAAGAATCGGAGGGAAAAAAGATAAAAGAAAATAATATTTTTATTTATAAAAATAATTTTTTATATTTTAAAAGAGAAGGGAAAGAAAAGGAAATATGTCATTTTATTAATATATTATATAATATATTATAAAGTATTTGACAAAAACTCTTAAAAACATTTTTTATGTATAAAGTATTGTTTATTAATACATGTTACTTAAAACTCAATATTACAAGTAGATTGTGCGTAAGTACACTTGTTAAATCTTCATATTTGAATTCGTATAACTAACTACTATTAAACATAATCAAATACAAGATAAATATCTTATTTTAAATATAAAAATCTAAAATATAATTAGGATAACATTGAGTTCTATTACTTAATTATTATCTTTATAAAATGTTATATTATTAAACCAAAAAAATTATTAAACTTAAATTAAATTATAATAAAAATAAATAAATWTAMWAAATTATATAAAAAAATAGAACTTTTAAATAGTTGTTTGATGTTAACATTGTATATATTTTTTTTAATTTTTATGATATCTTCAAATTTATATTCTATTCAAAAATAAAATTATTATTGTTTTCTTAAAAAATATAAAATCGTATTACAACATCAACAAAGATAAATAATAAAATAAAACATTAAAATCGAGATGTATCTAGCTGCATTGTACGAGTACCCTTCTAGTATTTTAAAAATATATTCTTTAATATGAAAGATTGGAACTGTAACACTCACTGTTGCTTTAAAACTGATAGGCAGTATTGTCAAAGTCGAATTGGACGGTGGTCGGAAAATCCTGGACAGTAAATTGTGCTTTAAAATCTCCGGAAGGATATTGGCTTTGTTGTCAAGGGTTTCATGAATTGGCATTGCTGGAGGACGATTACCGGCATCAACAATGGCTTTACTGGCAGTAAAAATGATAACTATTATGAATGATGTAGGGTTTCGGAACTGTAAAACTGATTAGTTTTTTTCTATTTTGAAATCTTTCAAGGTGGGTATAGACAGCTTTTGGGGTTAAAAAGATGTAATTTACCAATTTCTAAAACTTTGATAGTTTGTTTATTCAAAAAAATGTTCAGAAATTTAATCATTCAAAATGAGAAAATTTAATGTTTTATTTATTAAAAAAAGTTCATGAACTTAACTATTCAAAATAAGAAATTTTACTGAGCTTTTTCTGATGTTTTCTATTTTAATTATTAAATAATTATTGTACAGGTTTAATTTATAATATCATGATGATGTAGTGAGTGTTGTGGTATTCAACTCAGTATTGTTTGATGACATTGTTAGTGATATGAAATTTTTTAATCTAAAATTAGTCTTTAACCAGTTATTCGGGTATTTAAATGTTTAAAATTTTATATTTTTTAACATCAAAATATAAGTTTTGAAAATACATCACCTAAAATAAAAATCAAATTAAAATACATTATTTTTTCCTACAGTTTGTATTTTATTTATTTCTATTTAAAGTTCGATAAAAAAAAGTCCAATGTTATTATTTTCTGTAAATATTTTAATGTCCAACTTCACGTGTGACGTACGTCCCAAGAAAGATTGACTAGAAAAAGTTACATTTTTAGTCCCTATAGTTTTAAAATTATAAAATGAGTATCACAGTTTACAAAAATGGCTAGATTTAGTCCCTCTTTTCATAGACCGTTAAAGAATTTCCTTCAATGAGAAGTATTTTCGTCATTTTATTGTCTTTTTTCCAATAAAAAAATCTATAAAATTACGAAAATGCATCCATTTGATAGAATTTTTTATGACCATTAAAGAAAGGGATCAAATCTGAATCTCTTTGTAAACCATGATAGTCATCTACTAATTTCGAAGATGGAAAGTATTATTTTTGACAAACCGAATTTTAGTTATTTTCCTATAATTATTTTGCAATTTTAAATATGACATGGAATATTAGTTTTAAAATAAAAAATTAATATGACATGGAATATTAATTTTAAAATAAAAAATTAATATGACATAGAATATCTTAATTGACAAAATATTTGGATGATGTCAGCATTAACAGGTCAACAGGTCAACCAGGCCTTTAAATAAACAAAAAGTTTGCTAGAGACCCTTAAATGACAATTTTGAAAGTTGGTTCCCCAAAATAAGAATCAGGTGAAAGTTGGGTCCATTTTAAATAGTTAACTTAATACTAATATCGATATATTTTTGTCAAATTTTTATGATATTTTCAAATTTATATTTCATTCAAAAATAAAAACATTATTGTTTTTTTCGAAATCACATAAGAGTATACTATAACATCGATTGAGATAAAGAATAAAATGAAATATTAAAATCAAGATGTATCTCGTTGCATTGCGCAAGTACCCTTATAGTATATATATGAAGCATGCAACTCTAAAAAAAATTAAATCTCTAAACTATTTTTTTATTAAATTAATCGTTAAACTTTTTTATTTTGAACGATTAAATCTCTTAACCTTATCTTTTGAACACCTAAATCATTGAATTTTTAGAAAGTGGTTATCTACGTCCTTTTAACCCAAAAAACCTCCATAACTTGCTAGAAAAATTCTAAAGTAAAAAAAAAAAAAAAAAAAAGAACTTAAATCTGTTTTACCGGTCTCAAATCCTAAGTCATTCAAAACCCTCACAGTAAATGACATCGCTTCCATTCGTCACCCTATCGTTGTCTGTTCATTATACCAATTATTGTCGTTGTTGGCCCATATCATTGATCTTCCTCTTTTTTATTTGTTTTTTTGTCTTGCGATTCTCCCTCGTTTACAACATATTAACGGAATACGTATAGATAGATAAAAAATAGGGAAAATCGAAAAACAAAAAATTGGCAAAAAAGAGGGAGATTGACGGTGGGAGCCCGACGACGGTAACAGAAAGAGGACAACGATGAAACGACGAGGAGGAGCGATGACGTTGGGTACAATGGGTATTTATGATGTATGATTTGTGAAAGGTAGAAATGATTTAGGTTTTTTTACTTTAAAACTTCCTAGCAGATTATTGGTAGTTTTTTTGAATTAAAAAAAATGTACGCAACCAATTTTTAAAAGATCGATTGTTTATTTATTAAAAAAATTCAATAACTTAATCAATGAAAATTAAAAAAAATGTTTATTTAATTTAAAAAATAGTTTAAAAACTTAATCAATTTAAATGAAATTTTTTGTTAGATTTTCTTAAACTTTGTATTCGTACAATGTAGTGAGATATATATCTTGATTTTAATGTTTCGTTTTTTTTATCTCAATTGATGTTATAATACAGTTTTATATGGTTTTGAGAAAACGATAATATTTTTTATTTTTAAATATAATCTAAATATGATGATATATCATAAAAAATTGGGAATTTTTTTATTAATATTAATACCAAACTAGTTATTTAAAATTTCTCATTTTTGTGCATTTCTTTAATTCATTTTTTAATTTTTGGTTTAATAATATAATTTTTATAAATATTTTTTTATAACTCAATAATTATCTTAATTATATTTTAGATTTTTTATATTTAAAATGAGATGATTATCCTCTATTTGATTATGTTTATCTGCAGTTAGTTACACGAATTCAAACATTAAGCTTTAATAAGTTGTACACGCAAAATTACTTGTAATCTTGAATTTTAAGTAATATGTATAAATAAACAATACTTCATGCATAAAATACGGTTTATATTTTTGCGCAATGCAGCAAGATACATCTTTATTTTAATGTTTCGTTTTATTTTTTTGTCTCTGTTGATATATAATACGGTTTATGTCGTTTTGATAAAGATAATGTTTTTTCTTTAGAATAAAAATAAATTTGACAAAAATGTATCGATATTAATATCAAATTAACTATTTAAAAGTTGTCTTTTTTTGTACAATTTTTTATTATAATTTAATTTAGGTCTAATAGCAAAGTAATTTATTTTTTGGCTTAACAATATAATTTTATAAAGATAACGGTTCTGTTATAACTCAATAATTATTCTAATTATATTTTTGAATTTTTGTATTTAAAATGAGATGTTTATCATGTATTTAATCATACTTATATGCAGTTAGTTAATATGAATTAAAAAAATGGAGTTTCAATAAGTTGTGCTAACGTATAATTTAATCTTAAATTTTAAGTAATGTGTATTATTAAATAGTATTTCATACATAAAAGTAATTGTTTTTAAGAATTTTTAATTTTATAATATAGTATAAATAAAAACATAAATGGTCGCATGCAGACACAACATTGATTTAAAAATAAAACAACATAATCATTTGGAATAGCACGCACACACCTAAGGTCAAGTTAAAGTGGAGCTATGTGTTGCCATGTGAGAGCACTACAACTCCACTTCTTTATATATATATATATATATATATATATATATATATATAGGATATATTTCAAATACAACCAAGTTCATTTGTACAACCAATGCAACCTAATTAATTGAAACCAGCTTGTTTTTACGTTGAAGGTAACCTTCACAATGTTTTTACTTTGAAAGTTCGAGTTTTTTTATCTTCACAATATTTTGCTGTGAAGTTTCAAGTGTAAAAAAATAGTCTCATGGGTCTCACGAAAACATGTTGGTCTCACATGAACCCAACCCTAATATATATATATATATATATACATATATATATATATATATGTGTGTGTGTGTGTGTATAGACTTGGGATCATATGAGACCAAAGGTTTTTCGTGAGACCCGTAAGACCAATTTTCAACCATTGGATTAGATCTACAATCTGACAATCTGAACATTCATAAACGCCACGAGAATTCTCAATAATCACAAAATTGTCATCGTGCAACTTTAGACCATTAGATCATTAGCTTATAAAGTTGATCAATGAACATAAATTGGTCTTACGGGTTTCACGAAAAATCTTTGGTCTTACATGAACCCAAC